AGCTAAGATGTCAACCGATCGATTGCATTCCCGACGTACATGCATGAAGCTGCAGACATCTGAACCGAGAGCAAGAGCACTAATGTCGTGAATCCAAACCTATTCAGGACCGAGGGTTTCCGAATCACCTTGAAGAAGAGAAATGGCGGTGAGACAGTCCGGTTCAACTGTTAAATGTGAATAGTCCAGAGAAATTGCGAAATAGAGACCTTCACGAATGGTCAGAAGCTCAACAAGTAAAGGTGTGTAAGAAAGAGGTACAAACCCACATCCCGCTGCCAATAAACGACCAAATTCATCACGAAGAAGGAAGCCTAACCCAATCGAATTAGCTCCACACGCAGCATCAGTATTTAATTTCAACCGTACCGTGGCCGGACTCTAATTGGCAATTTTTGTTCTCTGTTGTGGAGCTAGCGTGGGAGAATGGAAAGCTTGACGAGATGAAACCCAGTACGAGGTGATCCATTCACTTTTAAAAGAGACTTCAGGAATTGGCGTCTCTTGAATGATTTGGTTTCGGTCATTCCAAATGGCACAGCATGTGATTATTGTAATTTCTAATTCTGAATTACTAAGCTCCATATGCCATCTCTCCAATTGATCAGGAAATGGAACATTCAAACTCGCAAGACAGGGTGTAGAAGGGAGAATGGTAGACCATAGTTGCTGCACTCGAGAGCAGTTCAATAGAGCATGAGCTGTAGTTTCCACCTTGTTTTTTCAGTAGGGGCAATAAGGCGAGACATCTAACCCTTTCCTTTGAAGATTGTACATAGTAGGCAAGAACCCATGCATTGATCTCCATAGGAAAGATCTGATTTTCGTAGGAATGCTCATGTTCCATATGTTCTTCCAGAAATTACCTCTGATAGAATAGTTGCTAGTGTCTGCAATAGCCAGTAGTCTTCCAAATTATAATAGCTGAGGGGAATTTTTAGGATTAGATCAATATCATCTCTGTAGAAGACACTAGACAGTATCCCAAGGTTCCAAGTGCCAGAGGGCTCGATCAAACTAGAAACCATAAGATTACCATTAGAAAGTGTTGGTGTGATCGGCTTAAAAGACTTTTCTCTAGGTAACCAAGGGTCCTAAAAAACCCTTATTGTATCATCTTTGCCCACTTGTTTGCGAATCCCCTGAAGAAGGAGGTCATGGCCTCATATGAGACTTTTCCAAAAATATGAAGCAGTAGAATTAGCAGAAGCCCCAATAATAGAGAAATCCGGAAAATAAATAGCTTTCAAAACTTTGGATACTAATAATGATGGATTTTTTAGAAATCGTCAAGCTTGTTTGGCTATTAAAGCCTTGTTAAAGCCCTCCAAGTCACGAAAGTTAAGATCTCCAAGCTCAGGCATACATAGGCGCTCCCAACTCATCCAATGTAATTTCTTTTGCTCACTAGTGGACCCCCACCAGAAACGAGTAAAAATACGAGCAACATCATCACAAAATCCTTTAGGCAACCGAAACACACTCATAGCATAAGAGGGGATTGCTTGGGTCACGCTTTTGATAAAGGTTTCCTTACCTCCAGTGGAAAAAAACTTGTGTTTTCACCCCTACATCACCTTCCATATCCTATCTTTAAGAAAATTCCAATCATTTCCCTTCCTCCTCGAAAAGCAAGAAGGCAAACCAAGGTAGTTCCCTAATTCCTGAACAAGTTCAACCCCAAGAAGGATTAAAGGTAGGCTTGCCTATTAGCATGGACATTTGGGGAGAACAAAATAGCGGACTTAGAGAAGTTGATACATTACCCCGAAGCATTCCCATAAGCGGCCAACAACTCCTTCAAAAATAGGCATTCAAGCTCAACGACATTAAGGAAGATTAAACTATCATCAGCAAATAGTAAATGGAAAATAACAGGGGCAACTTCATAATCAAAAGAAACACCATGGAGTTGGCCTCTTGAGTTTGCACTGTAGAGCATCATAGAAAGGTCTTCTGCACATAGCAGAAATAGATAAGGTGAGAGGGGTCACCTTGGCGGATACCTCTGGTAGGAATAATTGATCATGTTGGTCTCCCATTTATAAAGATAGAGAACTGAGCCGAAGTTATACATTTCATAATCAAGGAAACCCAACCAGGAGCAAAGCCGAACTTGAGCATTAACTGCTCTAAATAAGTCCATTCCACTCTATCAAAAGCCTTACTAAGGTCCAGCTTTAGCGCAGCAAGCTCTTTCTCACCAGTCTTCCTGCTTTTAATAAAGTGAAGACATTCATGGCCTATAATGATATTGTCACTAATAGCCCTATGCTGGACAAAAGCAAACTGAGCAAGCGAAATAATAATATCAAACACCCTTTTAAATCTGTTGGCTAGAACTTTCATGATGATCTTGTAAGAAACATTACAAAGACTCATTGGACGATAACTAGAGATGTACCTTGGCTTTAACCTTAACCTTAGCTTTTTCAACTATTGACAACTCTTCAATGAATTGTAATTTTGTTAATTTCTTTAGAAGAGTTTCTTGCCGATCTCCTTGAAAGTTGTCTTTGAGGGCGACTTAACAATTGCACAAACAATTCTTCAATCAAACAATTTATACATTCCAAAGTGAGTTGTAGCTAGGAATTCATTCCACCTTCTCCTTCCCATTATGGTCAATTATCAACTCATTCTGTTACGAACCTCAAGTATGAACATGTCATTGCTCCAAGTACACTTTCGTTCTTACATGTTAATTGATACTCAAAATATTAACTTGATCGTTAGAGCTTCTTTAGTTGTCACAGCACTAGTGTCTGCTGTGTCTCAAGTTTTTCATTACTCTCATTGTAGATTACCAAACATCATCATAGATTTTCACAGGTAGTTAAACAATTGAATATCAACCTTTTCATATGTAGATTCTACGAGTGAAAATTGTATTACTCCTAGAAAATATCTTGCCTCACGAAGCTCAAAGAAACAAAATATGGTGTATCAAAATATACATTCCCAGCTCAAATTGTAGTTATTACAGTTGGGATATTGCATCAGTTGTTTTACACATCCAGCAAAAGGATATCGAACTAAAGCTTGTAACACTTATATCTCACATAGACCTCATTTGATAAACAATTCTATTCTTTGTTTTTCTACTTTTTATAAAACTGCTTTGATAGTTACCTTAATATTAAGACCATTTCAATTTGAGTCTTTTATTTTCCTACTTCCTCTCCATTTCCTTGATATGGTTTTCACATGAATTTTTAGCCGAATTTGAAAAATAAAGACTGCTTTCTAAAACCCACTTTCTTTAGTTTTAGAAAGTCAGCTTCATTTTTAAAACCGGTTCAAAAAAATAGATAATAAAACAAAGAAACGCATCAGTATAAATAGTATTTATAAACTACTTTTTCAAAAGAAACAATAAAATGATTATCAAACGGGATTTCACTAATTGCATAATAAAAATTTTATTGAATGAAAAGAAGCTTGCGCCAATAAAAGATCTCGAAGAACAAGATGATTGATGACAGAGCTCAACAAATTTCTCAAAGCCGGTGAGGGGAGGACACCCCAGGGAATTCAGATATGAAGGTGAAGAGGGTACCAAATACAACTGAGGGCAGACAGAGAATCCGTAATAAACAGAGAATACATTATACAACTTGAACTGTACAATTCAGAAACTAAGACTCTAATGTGACAGATTTGAGTGAAGAAGTCACCTTGAGCTTTGAAATTTGTTTCTAAGATCCTCCAAATCTCACAATAATGCACAGGGTGTTCTAAAAACTGACACTGTCTCTAAATCCATCTCCATGGCTTCGTAATTTCTTACGACGAGACCGTGGGAACAAGAGTTGCTGAATTTGCTTCTCTGCTGCAACTTCAGATGTTGCCTGCAAATACAACATGGAAAATGGACAACCTTTTAAGAGGTGGACATAATTTTAACAGGGGCAACTGGCTAAAAGATAAAACGTTTGTTCTAGGAGGCACCCACCGTATATGGACCATTATATAAACCAGAAATCTTCTTATAAACCATGACGTGTAGATAGCTTACCCGGATTTTGAAGGGAAATCGAAAAGTCCGTACTTCTGTCCCGAAACATACCCTCACATCCATGCCAAGACTATCGACTCCTATCAAAATAGCGTCCTGGAAAGCAGATATCACCGACAAGTGATAATCACGGAAGCAAAAGTTACCTGTACCTCTAATTAGATAAACTGTCGTCTATTAAGTGTTAAGTATTTCAATCAGATGCATCGAGGTCACAACCGTCACATAGGCCAATATGACAGTAAAATATCGAGAAACAACATTGAATTCCACCAGAGCAGGTAAAATGGTTGGAACTAAACGACTCGCAAAACACAAATTTAAACAGAATTTGCATACCATATTGAATATGATGCTTCTTTTCTACATGAATTGTTGAAAATTAGTAAAAAAGTCTTCATGGCATAAATGTAGTACTTCCTATCTAGATTTCTTTTTAACTATTTATTTCTAGACATCCTATTTTATCCCCTCTGCTACAAATCTCTACCCCTTATCCTTTTTATATAGCCTTCCTGAAGAAACCAACAATATCACCCTTTAGACCTTGTCTTCAACAAGATTGAACCCTCCCTGAAAAACACCACATATATTCAGATTAAATGATAAGTCTAGTCCCTTAACTTTCAGCTTGTGACTAATAGACCCCTAAAAGTTCCAAACTTTTAGTTTTGTGACTAGTAGATCCATGAACTTTAAAAATATCTAACAAGTTCTTAAACTTTCAATTTTGCATCAAATAGATCATAACTTACTCGACACTTAATTTTACGAATCTATTAGACACACGATGTTGAATAGGACCTAAACCTTTCAATTTTGTTTCAAATAGGTTTGTGAGTTTGAAAAAAATATTGAATTATGACACGGGCCTATTAACTAAAAATTTAAAGTTCAAGGACCATGAGACATACAATTGAAAGTTTAGGAAAGACACTTTTTATGAGACTTTTTCAAGTGCAAGTGAACTATTAAACACAAAAGTTCAAGAACTTAATTTGTAATCTAAGCTAAAATTTTTCTTCTTGCTACTAAGTAACTTTTTCTTTTTCTAAATTAAAATTGAACTTCCAGTGAGAATAATGAAAAAGAACAAATGAAACAGAAAGGCATAAAAAAACAGCTCAACAAAGGGGAGCCAAATTAAAAGAATTGACTCCCATCAAGTAGGATTAAACCTAAATTTTCTACATCTCACCAGCCTCCTCTCCTCATTAGAAGTAAATCATAGAGGTTATTTTCCCTAAAGTTCCCACTTCATCTAAAGCTAAGGATGTGATACAACCCGAACAACTCAAAATATATTGAAATATAAAAGATATAGAAACTACAATAGCTACCAATTAATTCGAGGTACTTGGACCCTCCCCTCTCTTGAGTATTCTTACACAAGTCTAAGTCATACTACCAATTGCCTACCCTCATCCTTACCCCCTCACCTTATTTATAACCATAACTCCCTAACCCAATTACTGATATACCTTGAATACCCTAATAATATCCCCAACCTATCCTAATAACAATCCTATTAGGATGAAACCTCCTCCTCGGCATCCAGCAAATATAAATCATTTCCTCAATCTCCTCTTTACAACGATACACTGTCCATCACGATCTACAACTTTTAAGCTGCCTTTCAATATATCTAAGTTCTTCATAGACCATCCTGAATAATTTTCTCCTTATACACCCCACCTCCCACTGATCAACAAGCTGCAGACATTTTTGAAGCGAAAGGGAGATGGGTCCTACATTAGGTGCCAGATTTCTAATGCAAAGGGTGGAGTGACTTGACACAATTTTAATGAGTATTACGTTAACTGTATATGATTTGCTGGTTGACTCAATGTTTAATTCAATGTAAATAGAAGTTGTTAAAATTGACTCGCTAAGAGAGTAAAATTGATCTTTTCCCAAATTGATAATAAAACTCAGAATAAAGGAAAATGGGGTCTAGAATAATTAAAGTTTTTTTTTTTTGGCATCCAGCATCAAATAGATAAGATTCCAAATGCCATACTAACTTTTATGAGCTAGCCAAACGACAAAATGCAGTATTAGAAATCTCTCCAGTTATGCAACATTTCACATACACCAACATCCATGGAAATAAATGGACAAAAGTACCATATTTCTTGAACCATTATTGACGTTAAAATCCCAAGGTCGCGTTAAGAACCAGCCAAATGAAATTTTATTGCTACATCATACACGATTTTTTTTTTTTGTCCTTTTTTTCTCTCTTCTTGGTGGGGTGGAGGGAGGGGAGGGGAGGCAATGAAACCAAGAACCCTAGGACATTCCTTCAGTAAAATAATTTTAAAAAATGGGCAATTGCACATATAGCAATTTGGCCAAAATAACATTCAATTAAGCACAAGCTAAAAAGATTTGCAAATATGACACAACTTTTCCGCACATATATCAGTTAGATGTACGTTGCTGATGGACGTCTGTCTATCAGTTTATTACTTACGTCTATTGGTTTAGATGTCTATCGGTGATTGACACTGATAGATACACGCCCTACAAAATTACCATATTTTAAAAATCTTATACTTTTTGTGCTATGTTTGCATGTATGAAGAGACCCTTTTTCCACCTTACAATCTCCTTTTGAAAATTCTTTAGATGGATCAAACTTGTACTATTAAACGAGTTGCATGATCAATAAAATTATAATAGAATGTAAAATTGTCACCGCAACAAAAATAATGAAAAAAACATTACCTCAACATGAAGACCTCTTTTTTTGCAAAGAGCTTTAAGAGCAATATTACACCTAATACCCTTCTCACTAAAATGCTCTACAATTTCCGCAGTGGAGTGCACAAGAATATCAGGCTCAGCTTCTTGAAAATCTTGCAAACTGATTTCAGTCTGAAACCATTCAAAAATAGTATATCTAAGTTACTAATACCAGAATTTTATGAACTATTTTTGTTCTCCTTTTGCTTCATGTGAAATCTATTCATGTTATCATGTATCCTACCCTTTATGTAACTCTTTTTCTTGATTAAATTTTTGCTTCATATTCCACAATGCAAAAGGATAATAGCCAATACGTTCTTCCATTATAATCTTACCGACACTACTGATAATAGCCAATACGTTCTTCCATTATAATCTTACCGACACTACTAGAGATCAAATAAATATTGATATGTGAGACCCAAATTACCCAACAGCAAAGAAGGAACAAAAAGGAAATCTGATATACAGACCTGAACTCCATACACTGAGAAGAGCTCAATTCTCATTATCTCCAACCTGTAGAGAGTTGATCTTTGGCTGCTTTTATCACTTTTGGACTCGAAGCTCAAGGCTTCACCATCTAAACCTGCGGTCGAAGATTACATGACTACGAAGAACTCCATCAACACTAAGCCTATAATGCTTAGAAGCTAAAACACTGATATATATATCCACATACACACAGCGTAATGAATCAGTGACCTTTCTGTTTATACCAAAGGAAAAATAAAAACCCTGCAAATGTAGAACCTTCTAGTACTTCTCATAGATCTATCCCTGATTCAAAACCGCAAGCACAGATTCCAGGTATGTCATTATAAAATGTGAATGGATCCTACATACAGAACTAATGATTGTGATATTCCTTATGTTAAAATATAGATAATCATTCTTGCCTATTGGCTATTGCAAAACAAAAAGTTATAAGATCTTGTACTAATCATCCTAAATATAATGTTTTTACTCCCCTTTCAATAGTTGCAAGCTAAACGACCTTATCGCTAATTGGAAGGCGTTCTTGTAACTTGCCGGCCTTTTGTATTTCATATCATCAATGAAATTCTTGTTTCTTACTTAAAATAAATAAATAAATATATATATATATATATATAATCCTAAACATAATTCTATAACATTGAAATCCTTAACAATATTCAAGACGTTCTTAAGGGCCCTAAATGGATACATGCAGTTATTTATTTAGGCCTTAGAGAAGAATGAGACCTGGGAAACTATGACCTTCCAATAGGAAAACAACCTCAAAGTTGTAAGTGGATTTTCATCATTAAACATAATTTAAATGGTGGCATTAGAAAAATTCAAACCTAGGTTGACATTTAGTATAAATTACCAAGAAACCTCTGCACCCGCTGCTAAACTCAATACCATTTACATTATCTTCTCTTGGGCAATCAATAATGATGGAGTCCTCTATCAATTGGATTTTTTTTCCCAATAGGAAACAATGAAATTGATTTTATGAAATTATACAAAAGGATTAAATCATGTCTAATGAAGTTATGAAAACTTCTCCAATGGGATATAAGAAAATGCAAACAATAGTTACTTTAAGGAGAAAAATTTTTACACCACGAAAAAGCCAAAAAATATACAGAATCAATCGTCATGGAGAATTTTCCTTATCCTTAAAAATCCTCGAAATTCTCTCTCCAAATGAACCAAATATATGCTCTGTTGAGGTGGAGCCAGAGGATTTTCTTTTCTGCTAGGAAGGCTGTGGAAGGAAGATTAAAGACAACCAATTTCTTGCGTTGTCCGGCAAAACCACTGCCCAGCCAAAAATATCGAGTAAATGCTTCCAAATGGATGCAGAGAAAGGACAATCCACAAAAATGTGATATTGAGATTCAATTCCAGCTTTTCATGAACAGCACCAGCTTGGAGAAATTAACAACCAGGGGCTCTTCTTTGAAGCTTGTCATATGTGTCGAGGCACAAGTGACTTAGCTTCCAAATCAAAAACTTGATTTTTTGGGGGGATATGTGCCCTTGCAAATATATTTGTGAAGGTCAGCGGAAGAAGATAACAAACCCAAAGCAAGGCTTTGAGTCAATAATTTTGTTGAGAAGATACCATGTTTTTCTAGGTTACAAGACCAAACATCAGCCCTACCAAAGGAAGAAAGGAATATAAAAGAGCTGATAAGGATGCCCATTCCTCAATTTCCTATTCCTAAATTCCTCCTCTTTGAGATTTCTATGAAAATCATATTCCAGAACTTATTTTTTCCATCCCATAAATCAAGCATCTTTTTTTATAGATAAAGCATGTAGTGAAGGGAAGTCGATAAAGGGGTCGTCTTTGACCCATCCAAAAATCTGTCCAAAACAGTGTAGTATGATCATTTCCCACTTTGCAGCAAATATTTGAGAAAATAAGATCTCCTGTCGCTGGATATATTTCCAATGCCCTTTTTTGAATAAAAGAACTTCTCATCAGCTTTTTTAGATCAAAATTCTTGGACTCGTATTTTGAAATGATGTTTTTCCTCCACAGAGCTTCCTTTAAATAAATGATGGCCAGACCTCCTGATGATGAGGGCAGTTTCACCAAATCCTATATAAGGAGATGAAAGCCATCATTTTCCTTGTTACCTGCCCAAAGAAATTTTATATAAATTCACCCTATGGAAGCAGCGACTTTGGTTGGTATTAGGGAAAGAGATAAAAAGTAAATAGGAATATTTGCAGGGGTTGCTTGAATAAGGATGACTCTACCCTCCTTTGGACACATGGAGTGGTTCTAAATTCCAATTATGAAGTCTTCTCTCCACTCTTTGAATGACAGGCTGCCAAAAAGAAGTATGGGTGTTTATCATGTAGAGGAAAGCCCAAGTAGGAGCTCGGCCATGTGCTCACTTTGCACCCAAACAGGTTGGCAAAATGGGAAAAATGGTTACCTTCACAGTTAATACCCAAAAACTCAAATTTCCAACGGTTGACATTAAGACCCGACAGTTCTTCAAAGCATCTAATGCATAAAGATATAATCTCAATGTCTCTCTTCATGGGAGGAAAATAAAATCTTGTCATCGGCGGCTAATCGTTTTTTGATAGGAAACTGCACTTTTCATTAAGATAAATGAAAAAGAATACAAAAACCCGGGCACAAGAAACAAGAGCCCGACAATCAGCGGCTAATCTGGAACTCATCTTTATGCACATGAACATCCCCCGATAAGCCTTTTTGAGGCTGCAAGAGATAAGATCCTACTTAAACAGTCAGCAACCAAAATAAAAGGAAAGGAGGGGGAGGATCTAGCTGCATATGACCCCCCTCGTAGTGCAAATTTTTCCCTTGGACTTGCCATTTATAATGATGGAGAAATTTGTAGAAGAGATACAGCCTCTAATCCATCACCTCCAAGATTCACCACCAAAGCCTTTTGCTTACAAAATCAACTCTACAAAGTCCCAGGTTTACCAAAGGCCTTTTCCAAGTCAAGCTTGATAACTACATCCTTCTTCTTTCTAAACCATTCATCGATTAATTTATTTGCTATAAGGGATACATCTAGAATTTTTCTTCCAGCCACAAAAGTTCTATCAATTAGATATTCATAAAATCTTCTTTTAAATGAGGATCCTAAAGAAGAGATAGGGAAACTTCCACTGATTTTGTAACTTCTAAAATAAAGAAAAGTTTGTAAACCAAAGAGATCCCTTAATTTTCTTAAACAATCATTAGAGCCAAGTTTGAAAAATGTTCAAATGTTGTTGAAAATAAAGGTTGCCCTATATGCCACATTGATCCTACTTTACTTGTTAAACATTCTACTAATGGTAAAATTGCAAATGTATTCTGTAGGCTGATGACTATATCCTAACTAGGAATCATGTGGAAAAAATAAAGAAAGCAAAGGTCCTTGGCAACTAACTTTGAAGTAAAAAACCTTGGAAACCTAAAACACTTCAGGATGGAAGTTGCTAGATCAAACCAACCAACAACATCTCCCAAAGTCAAAAGGGAAACGTACCCTCCATCTCTCAAGAAAAAATTAGAATGTCAGGATGTTAGTTAGCATTTTTTAGTATTAAATATTAACCTCACCCGTATCCAATCTAAACTCAACCAGCCATATCAAATTAAATACCCACGGTAAGGTACTATGACAAGACACTTTATATCACTCGCCCCTTCTTACCTTGATATATCATATTTCACCATCTCCCCGTCATCTTCAGATCTCACCCGATCAAAGGAAAAGACATGCTCTTGTGAGTTCATGAATGAATTGAAATATCAGCTGAACAATTTTTGGTTGTGAAAACTGGAACCATTCGGTAAAGCTTTAACTTGATTTTCTGTGAAAAAAACACTACTAATATTTTCTGGTTCAATTCCCTGATAAGGAAAGTATGCAATTATTTTGAGTGGTTTGATGAAGTTATTTCTTGTCGTGCCAAGATAATTGGAGCAAAGCAGAGGAAAAAAATAACATACAGACCCCTGAGGAAGAAGATGGTGGGAATGGTGAGATACTTTTTTTTGAACAAGATACGAACTTTTCATTGATAAATGAAAATGAACAAAATTGTTCAAAGATACAAACTCCCATAGGAGTGAAGGTACAGGAAATAAATAAAAGTAAGCATTAGAAGAAATAAAAACCATAAACTTAAAGAAACCTCCTTAAAGGGGAATTATAAAAGCCTCCAAATTCATACAAAGCATACTAGGAGAATAAGAATAGAAGAGATCGGAACGAACACACCATTGGGAGGCTTTGAATTTGGCGATTGAGAAACACTCCATAGGAGATCGATTCTTGCCTTCAAATATTCGTTGATTTCTCTCAAACCATAATTCGGAAAGAAGAGCTTTTATTCCAAAAGCCCAAAGCATATTAGTTTTAGAGCTTGCTTGCAGCCCACTGAAAAGCTGAAAAATGATTTGAGGCACCTCCAGATCCCACACCCATGAAACTCCAAACATAGATAGGAATTTTTTCCAACGGACCACTGCATAGCTACATGAGAAGAAGACATGCCTTTGGGTTTCCCCACTTGCTTTGCACAGTAAACAACATGATGGCTGCATCAAAGAATTGGGCATTTTCTTTTGTAATGTCTCCGAAGTGTTAACTTTGCCCATTAKAAGAATCCAAACCATGAAATTAACTCTCTTTGGACAAAAAGAGTTCCATAAAATAGGTAGTACTYCCTTAGGAAAATTAGAARYCGAATGCTGGAATTTGCTCAATGATCGAACTGAAAATATACCCGAGGCTTCTAAACTCCAAACTCGTTGATCTTCTGAATCAGTGATGGAGGTTGAAGAAAGCAAGGATAAAAGATTTGCCAATTCAATGACTTCATCATCCTTCAATGAACGCCTAGTTGGCAGCCTCCAAGAATAACCAGTGTTATCCCAAGCATCCGCAACTACAGTGGACGGATAAGAAGAGATCCTAAAGACGGCTGGAAATCTATCTTTAAGCAAAAAATCTCCCATCCATCGATGATGCCAAAACAGACACCTTTTGCCATTCCCGATTTTTAAATGGAAAAATGATTCCACTTGCTTCCATACCTTAGATATATTCCTCCAAGGGCTTCTACCTGAACCTATCAACTTAGTCAAAGTGAACCAATCACCAAAATCAAAGCCATGAATACTAGCCACCACCAGCCTCCACAAACTTGAGGATTCAACACTGAACCGCCACCCCCACTTGGCAAGCAAGGCTCGGTTTCTTTTAGCAAAGTTCCCTATGCCAAGGCCACCTTCCTCTCGATCTAAAGAAGATATGTCCCACCTCACTAAGTGATTTACTGAACCTTTCAAAGAATCTCCCCAAAGAAAGGATCGAACATTTTTCTCCATTATTTTGCAAATTCGCATAGTGAGATATGATGCAGGCCAGGTGAATTTTTTGTAATTAGGTGAGATATAAAGTGTTCTGTGACAATATTATAGTGGAGTGGATATTTAACACTTAAAAATATAAGCTCATACAAAATACATTTCACATCACCATTCTATTATTTAATTTTATTTGCATTATTATGCAGGAATTCAGTTTAAAAAAGCAGCAGAATTGAACTTTTAAAACATTGGAGCTGAAACTAAAAGGATTGTGTAAACTTCAAGGACTAAATGATGGTTAGCCTAGAAAATAAGTTTTGAGTTTTCACTTAGATAGCAGATACATGAAATAAGAGTAAGAAAAAGTAGATAATGAAAAGAGTTTTTGGATATGGTGGAAGGAATTCTACCACATCTTCAATCATACCAATCGAAAGTAACATATTCATGTTGAACAAAAAAAGATAGGAATGAGATTAGCAAGTGCTTCTACAAGATCCCTACACGTAATTATCTCAACCATTCAACTGAATGGTTCAGAAACAGAACGAACTTGTTATCCTAGTTCCCAGTGCTTTTTCATCATAACAAGGAAGTTACCTTTCCATTCTGTGGTGTAGCCTTCACTTCCTTCAAAGTAAAATAATCTTCTTATATAAGATTCTTCATCAGCAAATGCAGGTCTGAGACATCCCAAAATGGAAACTCCATTTGAAGGATGCTTCATCTTTTTATCGTATTCCATATTGATAACCTATAGATAACAAACATTTAACAAAGAAAAGAGTGGGTTAACTCTTCCTAGTACTAACGGATGTATTATGAACTATAGCTGCTAGGAGCAGGATATGATGTTTTGGTTAAATACATCAACAATGGGTGGGGTGGGGTGGGGTGGGGATTTGAACTTCTAGGCTATTTTATGCCTTAACTAGTTGAGCTATGCTTAGAAGAGATTAAGGTAAATAGAAAACATAAGGCATCAATGCAAACACATTAATCAATATATCAACTACAAGTATTACCAAATATTCTGGTACACATTCAATGGTGGATCAAGAATTTTGTTGCAGAGGGTCACCAGGGTCACCAACTGACTAGTTCAACCATAAATTTAGTCTAGTTGTGTATTGAAATCATAGGTTAGTCTTTTACTTACCATTTAAATTGTTATATACTCTCCTTCAGTCAAACGAATTATATTTTCCTCCACTAAATAACTCTAATTATAACGTGTTAACAATGTTACAAGTGGACATAATTCTATCTAATTCTACAAGTTTTTAGCACTTGATCAATAAAAATTGTGAAATATTTAGTGAAAAATTCAATGAACATGAATTAACACTTAAAAAGAAATAAAATAGTATAAAGTATAAAGACTAAACAAAAAAACAAATATCAGCAATCTTTTTTTTTTCTTTTTTGAGCACCCAGTTTCAATAAGAATGAAACTTAACAAAACCAATGCACTTTACACTTCTGAATCAAGTTCCTTTCTTCCTAAATATATAACCTGAGCAAAACGTTTTGAAGGGAACACCTCTTCTCACTTTCAACTGTTGATAAGCTGAAACACTCCTCCAATGCATCAAGGGAAGAAATATCCTTGATTGATCTGAGATTCTTTTTCCTTTTTCAGATTTTCATTCTTGGCACTCCACTGTTTGAGAGAGAATTTCAGATTCCTCAATTTAGAATTAAGAGCAAACCCAGCCCACCCATCAGAAGTATCTTCTGCTAACTTTTCTTTAATGAAACGAACAGTCTTTGTTCTTCAGCCATGAGTTAAAGAAAATAAATGGAGGACCCCAGAAAAAACCACCAGCTTCTAAAATAAAAGAGTGGGGAAATGATCGGAAGCAGTATTTTCAATTTGTAAGTTCAAAAGCCAAAGAAACCCAGCCCACCCTGGAATGGGTTGTGTGGCCATCAACAGGAGGAAGAAAGAGCGTTGTAATTCCAGCAGGAATGAAGACAGAGGGATGGCAAGCTCTTTGGACAATGTTGAAAACCTTTTTTTAGAACAAGAAACAACTTTTCATTGATATATGAAAAGGAGAAAAAGTTCAAGAATACAAACTCCTAAAGGGGAGAGAAAAAAATAAAAGACAAAAACATAGAATAGTCTCAAGAGGGAACAATGTTGAAAACCTTTTCGGCCAGAATAGCAGAGGATTAGGCTATGCAATTGGAGAAGAATCGTAAGATGGGGGCTGATCGAGGTACAGTGGTAGAGAAGAATCTAGTCCAAGGGCCTTACAAGAAAGAGCAAGGGAAGCTCCACCATGCTGTAGAGGTGGTGGCTGGGGTCGACACTAGAAAGAGACTTTTAAGGAGGTAGTAACGAACAAAACCCCTAAAGATGCTACATTCTTCAGAGATTCGCTGAAGGGTCCAACGAGTCATTGGGTCAAGAGGGCCGATGAAGTTCTGAAAATGTGTTGGGGATGCGACTTTCGTAATTACCCGAAGTTGTGCTCATGATGATTGGAAAGCTATCTACTACAGTTCAAGCTTACTTCTCATAGAGATGTATTATTAATCCTTTTATGGCAGACAAAGGTTTAATCGAGTTTGAAGACGATAGGTTGATGGACATTGCTACTCAAGTTGGCCACTAGATGAAGATTGGGGAATTTTTCGTTAAGATCGAAAGATGACATTCTGAAAAGCACAGTCGAGCAGATGTAGTGATCGGGTATGGAGGTTGGATCAAAATCCTTGACTTACCTTTGATGTATTGGAGGAAAGGAACCTTTGAAGCTATTGGCAAACGTTGCGGTGGTCTGGTAAGTATCTCCTCCAAAACACTTCATAGATTGCACGACTGCCTTCATACACGTTAAACCGAACAGATGTGGCTCTCTTCCAACTTTGATCAAAATAAGTGATGCTAAGCTAGGTGACTATGTCGTGCGGCTTGTTGGGTTAAGTTGTGTAAATCCTCCTCGTCAGTGTGGAATCCCGCCCCCTTGGTTTTCCCGAGATGTTTATGTTGTCCAACAAGAAGGGTGCATCGATCCAGAATGTTGGAGTCCTGTTTCTCTAATGTGGGATTTGGCCTTTAGAAGAAACCTCTTCGACAGAGAACTAGATAGCTGGGCTACTTTTACTGAAAAGCTGGATGGAGTGCTGTTAGGGCAGGGTCAAGACAGAATGTGGTGGAAGGAGAATCCAAGTGGGGTTTTTTCAACTAAATCAGCTTTTTTGGCCCTGACTTCCCTCCTCCGAAGATGAATACTTCCTTTTGTTACAGATTTGGAACTTTAAGGTTCCAAAGAAAGTTAAAGTGTTTTTGTGGTCGATGTTCTATCGTGGGATTAATACAGCCGACAAACTTCAGCGTAAACTTCCCACCTGGACCCTCTCACCTTCGGTATGTTTGTTATGTTGCAAGGATTCTGAGACGTTAGATCATATTTTCCTCCATTGTCAGGTGGCTTCTTCAATGTGGTTTTACTTTGCTTCCATTTTGGGAGTGTCTTTTTGTCTCCCTCAAAAGATAGATGAGTTTATTTCAGAAGACTTCGAGGGAAGGGCCCTTCGGGGTAAAGCTTTTGTAGTTTTGTGAGAAGGGTTATATTTTTCTTATACTCATTACAACCCATTTAGGGGTAAATATACAAGAAGACCTTTCAACAAATAAGGAATTAATCTAAACCTATAAGGAAAACAATAAAATTACAGAATATACAGAGACATAATGTAAATTCTAATAAGGAAAAAACTTAATTTACGGCTTGATTTTCTACACGCCCCCTCAAGCTGGATGATATATGCTTGTCATTYCAAGCTTTGAGATTAATCTACTAAGGCTGGGTYGATGCAATGCCTTAGTTAAAATRTCAGCAGCTTGTTSTTGGGAAGATACATATCTCAGATTGATAGTATTTGTCTCAATCTTCTCGCTGATGAAGTGACGATCTATTTCGACATGTTTCATCCGATCATGATGTATTGGATTTCTTGCAATGGCTATGGCAGATTGATTGTCACACAATACCTCTATAGTACCTTCTGTCTTCACCTTGAGTTCAGTGAGAAGACGTTTCAACCAAACTCCTTTACAGATCCCATGGGCTAATGATTGAAACTCAGCTTCAGCACTACTTCGAGCTACAACTTGCTGTTTCTTACTACGCCAGGTTACTAGATTCCCCTATACATAGGAACAGTATCCTGATGTTGACTTACGGTCAATAGGAGATCCAGCCCAATCTGCATCCGTGTAGACTTCAAGAGCTCGGTTTGTGGTTTTTCTGAACATCAGTCCTTTTCCAGGATCGTGTTTGAGATATCTCAATATTCTATACACAGCTTCCATATGCTCCTTTGAAGGTTTGTTCAGAAATTGACTTACCACACTAACAGCAAAACTAATGTTTGGTCGCGTATGAGTTAAGTATATTAGCTTTCCAACTAGGCGTTGATATCTACCTCGATCAACTGGTTCATCTTCAAGATTAACTCCAAGTTTTGAATTTGCATCCATAGGAGTGTCTGTTGGTTTACAACCACTCATCCCGGTCTCTATTAGGAGATCTAACATGTACATTCGTTGAGTGACAGAAATCCCTTTACTAGATCTTGCTACTTCCATACCTAAGAAATACCTTAGGTGTCCCAAGTCTTTGATCTCAAATTTCTTCGAGAGAAGTTGCTTTAGACGAACCATTTCTTCAGAGACATTTCCTGTAAGTATTATATCATCAACGTATACTATTAATACAATGATCTTACTTGGTAAGAAGTGCTTGACAAAGAGGGTATGATCGGATTGACACTGAGTATAGCCGTCTTGTTTCAACACATTTGTAAATTTTTCAAACCAGGCCCGAGGTGACTGTTTTAGTCCATACAGAGACTTCCTGAGTTTACATACCTTTCCCTTGGTATATCTGTCCTCAAATCCAGGAGGTATGTCCATGTACACTTCCTCTACTAAATCACCATTTAGGAATGCATTCTTCACATCAAGTTGAAACAATGGCCAATCTAGATTTGTTGCAATGGAGAGAAGTACCCGAATAGTGTTTAGTTTGGCAACTGGAGCAAAAGTTTCCTGATAGTCAATCCCATAAGCTTGGGTGAAGCCTTTAGCCACCAGGCGAGCTTTGAATTGTTCTATACAGCCATCTGGTTTGTGTTTGGTTGAGAAAATCCATTTACATCCAACCGTGCGCTTACCTGGAGGTAAGTCTGTAAGGATCCATGTCCCATTTGTTTCCAAAGCCTGCAATTCTTCTAGAGTAGCAGCCTTCCATTCAGGTTTCTGCAAGGCTTCTTGAACTGTGTTGGGAGTTTGAACCTGATCTAGTGAAGTCACAAAAGCTCTAAAATACGGCGACAGATTAGTGTAAGACAAGTGATACCGTATGGGATGTTGGGTACATGAGCGAATACCTTTCCTGACAGCAATGGGTCTATCATCTCCTGATGTCTCATGTGCTATTTCAGGGACATTGAGATTTTGGTTTAGATCTTGGCTTTGCTGAACTTGTGTAGGTTGTATTT